ATTGTGAATGAGTTTGATAGTTGGGAATTCTATTTGAAGTTGTAGAAGGAAATACATTTTGTTATTATGGGTGCAGTGGTTCTTCTTTTTCGTGATAGTGTTCTTTCTTTTTTTTCAGGTAGTCCATCACAGTCCACATTATATTATCATCAATAAAAGATATGACATTCTCATCAATAGTAACTCGGCAGCTGATGAGGTAAAGACATCTTTATATTCTGGTTACATTTCTTGTACTTTTTGCTCATAAACTCAAAAAAGATTAATCAGTTAGATGTGAATTATTTGAAAATAAGGTACACAAAGGGAGCTCTTTTTTCATATGAAACCGTCATAAATGATGGCAGTAAATATTTGCAGTTTTGATTTAAAGACAATTTACTATTTGCATGTTCATAGGTGGCATAAACTACAGTTGATTATTTTTCTTCATATAATATCACAAGCAAAAAACATTCATTCATAAAATATGACCGTCCTTTTACCAGAAATGTACACAAAATGAGGCTATATTAATCCTTCCTTCCCTTCCTTCCAGGTGACTGTACAGACGCAGCTCAGACGCAAATTCCCCGACCTTGTCAACCCTAAGCTCGGCCATGAGTTCATGTTTGCACACAGGCTCGATTTTGCAACCAGTGGGCTCCTGTGCATCTCGGTCCACAAGAAGGCTGCTGGAGCTGTGACCAGGAGTTTTGTTCACAAGCGGGTCGATAAATATTATTTGGCACTCGTACGGGGACATGTATCGAAGGAGATGCTCGATATCTACCTCCCTATAGGTGAGTGAGGTATTTTTGCTTGTTTTTCCCCTTTTATTCTTTTCCATTTTTTGCTTCCTTTTCATCTGTATCTTCTTCTTTTTCTTTCTACTTTTCTTTGTCAAATTTTATCTCTGGTGTTGTTTTGTTTTGTTCTTTTTGAGTCCATAATTTATTCTGCCTAACTTATTGAAGTCATAAGCTAGTTATATAACTTAAGGTTAACATTTCACAAGCTTAACGCTTTCATTACTGAAATGGATAATATAAATGTACTAACATTAAATAGGAACAGTTTGGTTCATGAAAAAGTTGTATGGTCCACAAGCGATTTGATCAAAATGACTTTTGAATCAGTGTCTTCATATCCTCTAAATATTGCTACTATGCATGCCAAAATTATGGCATTTTTGTTGTTGCATTAACTTGTTCCCTCCATGTGGCATGTAAGTTATGCCATGCCAGAATCAGTGCCTTGCCAGGGACACTTAAAGTATGTCATCATTATCCAAGTTCATTTATAATTCATAGTCTTTCTGTCATGTGAACTTTGCACAATAGTATTAAGGGTTCATTTTATTGTACATATCTTTATCACGAACTAGGCCAGTATTGTGGCATATATGGCATGAAAGTAAGTGTGTACCACCATGTTAAAGCACACCCTTTTAGACATTGGGTTAACAATCAAAACATTTAGCAATAATATAAAAGTTAGTTTTGTACAAAAATATGCTTACCTAATATTTCCTTTGCTAAGGAGGCAAAGGATATTTTCTGTACATAACTGTTGTGTCTACAGTCACCTGTTCCTTATTATTTTTTGTTGTTGTTGTTATTATTGGTGTTTTTTTAATAAAAGAAAAATAATTTGCTTACAGTGGGAACATTTATCCTATACCAGGTGGAAAATAATCAGTCATTGAGTAGAAAGTATAGATAATTACTTTAACTTTTCATGCTTCTAATCTTTCACTTGAGTGGCTAACTTAGCAGTGACCAGACTTTTACTTCCTTTTCCTTCTTTATAATAATTATGTAGTTACTCAAGCCAGTGATGTAGGGTATAGTAAGTCCCCAACTTAAGAACATAATGGGGACCGAGAGGCTGTTTGTAAGTTGATTTGTTTGTATGTCGAAAGTCGGGTCTCCATTACCTTTTTTCCCATTGTTTTAAAGTTTTGTTTACATTAAGAATACCTGTAAATAAATCCCAATAAGTATGACATACAGTACCAGACTCTTGAACTATATTCGCGCCAGGGAAATTTGAAGGGTGCTAGCATCTTTCAAACAATTTTTTGGACTTTAGTACTTAAAAAATGTTGTTTGTATATATTGAATGTTCAAAAGTAGAATGTTCTTAAGTAGGGGACTATCTGTAATAACATTTTTGGTGCTGGTATTCTTTCAGTCACTGTTTGTACTTGGTACTTTGGTCTTGTTTTACATGAATGTATTAAAGTCCCTTTAAGGAATTATGCTTAGCTATGGTGAAATGACTAAGGAAACACATTTATATTTCACCACATCAGTGATATGTGGATTTAGTATGTACACTGGTACAAATCCATGAGGCAGTTAGAGAGAGAGTGAGCTGCTGGTCCTTTGTTTGCTCTTCTATATAGCCTTACTGTTGAAGAGGTAATTTTTGCTACTTGAATGCAGTTTTATTAAATTATAAGTGAAAATTAGTAATAATAGAATGTAAACTAAAGCAATCATAAGAATATATATACACCTTATAAAAAGAATATAATTCATCATTACCAATAATTTGTAACATTATATTTGTGCATGCAAGGTACATGGAGATCAGCTGTATGTGTCATGGACAATCTACTGGTTTTATGTGGTACTACTTGCAGCCTGATTTAAGTCCCTGTAGTTTGGTATGGTATGGGTAAAAGCCATTATCACTGGGTTAAATTTTGATTTATCATAATAATTGATCATACATTTTGCAGCAAATTCACTGTATAAAATGAACTTCATATGCCAGATACAGACTTAATTATTCCATTGCAGGGGATGACCTTCGACCAGAATGGAGAGATGTGAAGATGGCGACTCCTCTCAGTCGCCACGTTGGTCGCTGCAAACCAGCCCACACTCGCCTCCTGGTGCTGCAGAAAGGCCTCTATGATGGTTAGTTTATCCATCTTGGTTTTTGTTATTTTGAAATTGTGTGTAGATTGACTTATCCCACTCTGTTATAAGGAGAATCTTATTTAACTTTCTATATGTGTGTACTGTATTGTTGCTTAACTAATTTGATCATATATCCATGCTTTCATTTATGTGTCTGTCTATATTTCTAGTATGTCACTCATTAATTCATGGAAGGTGGTAGTTTGACTTACAAGTCTCATAACTATTGCTTTACTTTTCGTTTATTATAAACAGAAAAATAGGTTCTTAAGCAAATTTTGGAAACTTTGACATGTATTTAAGTTAGTTCATTTAGTTACAGCTTCTTTGGTTCTAGGCAAATTTAGGTAATCATGTTTAGGTGAATGGTAAAACACTCAACTGTGTTGGTACTATTGTAGAAAAAACAAAATGAACAAAACAAAAAAAAACACACACACAATGGCCAAACATTGGTTCATTAAAAATTAGATTTTTTTGAAGCCCTCCACCTAGTTGACTCAAGAAAGAAGGAATGTGTACATTTTTATTTATAAAATCTTGTATAAGCTTGCTAAGTTTTCCCCAGTTGAAGGAAAAATAGACATATTACAAATATGAAGAGTTGCTATGCAGAATATTCATATTTTAGGTAAGAATCATACAGAATTATGATACAAAAATTGAACAATATAATATTATGCATCAAGGATTAGTATAGCCTATAGTTAGTCTTTTCATTTGAATCTGTAGAGTTGATGAAAATGAAAAATGAAATGTGTGTGTGTGCGTGCGTGCGTGCGTGCGTGTTTCTTATTCTTTCTTTTCTGCAAAGGGTGTAGTTTTTCATCCTAATTCACAGTTGTGTTGTTCTATTTAGCATTGAATTAAAAGGGAATGTCCAGTCTGTTTAATTTTTTATTGCATGTTTGTGATGTTTTAGTTTAGAAAGCTACTCATTTTTGTATCTTTTTATTTTTCCTTTCTTATCAATGGTATAGTGAGATTTTAAAATAGCATCTGACAGAATTGAGTTATTCGCCTCCCAAGAAGCAAAAAAAGTGATTCTCACAAAAGTGTGCTTGAAAGTCATCAATATTTTCAAATTTTTGTAAATATGTAAATATTATAAAAGATCCATCACTCTATGTATTATACTTACTGCATGGATATATAGGTATTGGTTTGTCAGTAATCTACAAATCAAAAAAAGTGAAATCTACATTATTAAAATGCCTGATTGCTGTAACTACCAGTAATTTGTTCAGTCAGATACACATTTGGTACATATATGTGCAACCCTATCAATGCTTCAACATTGCTCGTCATTGCAGATTACCCCGCCACAAAGCTCCTTCTGAAGCCCATCACTGGCCGACGGCACCAACTCAGGGTCCACTTATCAGAGTCAGGGCACACTATAGTGGGAGATTTCACGTACTCCAACCGTCGTGATCTTTCTCCCTATAGGATGTTCCTGCATGCAGTACGCCTGGCCTTTCCCTCTGAGTACGAGCAAGTCGATGTTCGCACCAATGACCCTTTCACTCAAGATGATAGGAGGAACAAGTGGACCCCAGTGGAAACCCTGAACGAACTCACCGATGACGCGTACTTAAAGCTCAAAATGGGAAAGAAGTGGTATAAGAGATGATGTGCTTTAAGTGCTGTAAATGTCTGTTTTTCTTCTTTCTTTCTTTTTTTTTTGCATGAATGGTATTCTATTTATATCTTGTCAAGTGAGAGAGAACGAGAGAAAAAAAATATTTATGATAAAAATATTTTGTAAGTCTTTGGTGGTGCTGCAATAAATCAAGGTCTCCATCATATCAAGTATTAGAGATTGAGCTGTGAAACAATTTTTATACATGTACATATTTGCTGTATGTATATAAAATCAATCCTAATGAGTCTAATGTGATAAAAAAAAGAAGACTTCCACTGTTGTGTTGTAACCCAAACAACGAGACAATCAACCTGAATCAAATACTCCAGCAGTTGATGTTGTGATGTATAAAAATAAATGAATATATGTGAATTCAAAGGTTGTGATACATTGTAGAAATTTCACGAAAGTAAAGGAAAAAAACAAACAAACAAGAATCCAGCCTTTTTACAATTCTTTATTTCCCTTCCTTCTCACAATAACTCTTTTGCAAACACAACACTACAGAAAAAGGCCTTCCAGTTCGGGCTTGGTATAGCAGGAAACACATCCGAATGGGCATACAGCAGGACCTCGCAGAGTGGGGTTGGCCAAGTGTGTAAATGTAGGGCAAGCGGAGAAGCTATGGGGTACCTGGCTCGGGAATTATCGATGGGCTGGGTTGCAAAGTAGATGTCTCCTGCAATAGGTAAATGAGTTAAGTTATTTCTGGCAAATGAATATATTTGTGAGACAGATGAGTTCTTGTGCTAAAAGAGGAGTGTTGATTCAAACGAATTTTATTTTCAAAACATTTAAACATTAAAATATCAGGATATTAGAAGTTACTATCTTTATATTATAAAATAGGATATTAAAGTAAGTAAAGTTACAGAAGATATAATAACCTGGATGACATGACTATGCTCAACTTTGCTAATCCTCATTGTGAATCACTACTATTACACATACTTCAAAAGTTAATACCTCTCTACTAACACACATGGGTTCACTACGTCTTTTGAGTAGTGACATCACAACCAGTGTGCATACTCCATCACAAAAGAAGTCTAATTTTGTGGAAAAATAATACATATGCTATCACATGTGCATAACTAATTTGACATAATAACAGGGGCTTAATTGTACATAAATTTGGCATCAAGCAACTGGATAATCTCTAGCAAAAGCAATATTACCATACCATAATTGAGGAGACAAAAAATCAAAATAATGTAAAGTAGCTTTTTGACTTTAGAAGTATTACATGAAACTATCAATCCTTTGCAGTTATAAAAGAAGAAAAAAAAGTTACGATTCAATCTACTCCACTAAAAGAATTCCATACCTTTCATTCTGTTTGAATCTATTAAGTTGAGCAGTATAAGATACAGGGGATTGATGTTGAGAGCCCACATAGTGAGAGAGAGAATTCCTCGCACTGTATTGAGGCCTATTCTTAACTGTGAAGAAATTGGACAAAAATAAGATTTTACTAATTAACCACTGAAATACTTTTTATGTAATGTCAATGACTACTACATCATATATATCAATGTATGTATGTATATGAGAGAGAGAGAGAGAGAGAGAGAGAGAGAGAGAGAGAGAGAGAGAGAGAGAGAGAGAGAGAGAGAGAGAGAGAGAGAGAGAGAGAGAGAGAGAGAGAGAGAGAGAGAGAGAGAGAGAGAGAGAGAGAGAGAGAGAGAGTGAGAGAGAGAGAGAGAGAGAGAGAGAGAGAGTGAGAGAGAGAGAGAGAGAGAGAGAGAGAGAGTGAGAGAGAGAGAGAGAGAGAGAGAGAGAGAGAGAGAGAGAGAGAGAGAGAGAGAGAAAGAGAGAGAGAGAGAGAGTGAGAGAGAGAGAGAGAGAGAGAGAGAGAGAGAGAGAGAGAGAGAGAGAGAGTGAGAGTGAGAGAGAGAGAGAGAGAGAGGAGAGTGAGAGTGAGAGTGAGAGTGAGAGAGAGAGAGAGAGAGAGAGAGAGAGAGAGAGAGAGAGAGAGAGAGAGAGAGAGAGAGAGAGAGAGAGAGAGAGAGAGAGAGAGAGAGAGAGAGAGAGAGAGAGAGAGAGTATTGCATTGTGCACATGACTTTTTTTGCATCTATGTGTCATTATGGGCCAAAAGAAGACTTAAACCAGAGACTATTAGAAAGATCACTAGCCTATATGAAATTAGCCATAAAACCCAAAAAATTATATTGTTAACTGGTGGTTTTGCTAACACAGTGTGGAAGTGGCTCATTTTCATGATGGTGGTAGGCCACAAAAGAAAAGGATGAACTAAGGGATAGATAGACTTAGACTTTCCTTTCTATCCCTTGCCATTTGTACTGTACATAAAGGTGCTAATTCCAATATAAGAATCTGGTAGGTGTTAGTTACCAATGAATGTTTCTTTGGCCAAGGAATTCACTTGCAGTAAAGTTCTGTGAAACAAAAGTTTTGAAATCCATCTACAGATTTGAAAGTGAAACCTCTGTGGAGATCAAAACCACTATGTCACTTTTCCATAAACTTATTAATTCATTATTATTATTATTGCTATTCTTTTTTCTATAGCTTTACATCATTCATTTGATAAAATCTCTTTATGAATATACAACAGACCTCCTGATGATAATCTAAGAACTGTACAACTCATGTCTCCAATGGTTTATCCTTGCATTTTATTCTTTACAATAAAAAAGAAATGAATGATATGAAAACAAATAAGAAATGAGAGAAAGCGAGAGAAAAAGATACAACTAAACCACCGTGAAATACTAACCGACGCAAACACCAAGTAATATACAGTGGTGGTGGGCAAGAGAAATATCACGAGGGTGAAAATGACCGCCGTCAGCACCCGAATCAGTGACATGTGGCCACCTTCGATCTCGTAACTGTCCACACGCTGCTTCAGAGGATTCCACTTTCTCCCTCGGAACGCTCTCCACTGGGACCCCAGGAGAGAAATTTGGAGCATGTGCATCCTGTGTTAATGGGAAAGCAGGAATTTTTTGCTATTGAATAAATTTAATTTCACTAAGAATAAGAGAAAACAAATATTCCACATATATAAAATCACATAACATTATGGCACGGAAGCAAAATCGTCATGAAGATCATAATCATCATTATTATCATTATTATCAGCATCATCATAATACTAATGATAATGATGATGATGATAATAAAAAATAATGTGATGATAATGTGATAATGATAATAATGATTATGACAATTACCATTTTCATTATAATAACAATAATAACAAAAGAAGAAACAAAAACAGTGGGTGTGCAATGGCAAGACCCAGTTACCGATTACCATTGTCATAAAAATACAGTTAATATACCTAATAAAGCTAATAAAATGAATGATAACAATGTATTGTACTTCTGTGCATGGATACTGAAATACTATTAAATAAGTAGTAAGTCTAATAATTCCAGATAACAAGTCAACAATATCATTAATAATAGCATCAATAATCCGACAGAAAAACCTTCACTTGGATATATGCTTTCATAAACACACCAGTGGTACAGTAAAGCAAATTCCAGGTCATAATCAAAACATATAAAAATAATAATAAAAAAAATAATCACAATAATACCAATATCAATAATTAAAAGGTAATGCAATCCTCAACATGTTATACCTAGCCGCATAGACATAAAAGCAGTAGAGATGCAGAGTGGCCAGGTCCATCAAGTCCGACAAAATGGCCACTTGAACAGAGGCTCCGCACATCCCCAGCCAGAAGAACACCGAAGCCAGACTCCTCAGCACGGGATCTGCCAAGTCTGAGCGGCAGAAGTGTATGAATGGTTTATGTCAGGATGGTAGGGAACTGTGCCAAAGCAAATATACTCACAGAATAGTCTTACAAATATGATTTCTATTCTATTCAAATTGTCATGTTAATAAAACTTTAGCTGTCCATATTACAAATCCTATTACTGTGGCAAACTGGAAACAGAAAAAATGTTTCACAATACTGTAGACTATAGTAAAAAAAAAATATGCATATATATATCTTAAATTTCTTCTCTTAATTGATGTATCAGATCTATCATATAGTTCTCAAAATTATCAAGAAGGCACACAAAGAAAAACAACAGCAAGATGCGCCATTTAACTTGTGCCTAAATCTTATTATTACAAACAATACCCATTACTTACCTAGATAAAGCCTCCATAGATGAACATGATATGAGAAGAATGCAGAAAGGGCTTGCGTCAAAGGCTGATTCAGCTTGAGGCCCGCTGGAGCTCCCCGCAGCCACTCTAACAGATGCTGGACATTTGATGCTAAGAGCTATTGAGGAAAAGACTGTGTAATTGACATGACCAATACTATTAAAAATCAGTATTCCTTTTTCATATCATCTGCTATCATCTCTAGGGAATGGGTAGTATGAAAAACTTGTAAGTGTGCAATATATACAAACATTTATGATGTCTACTGTTTAAAAAAACATCCTATAAACTAAAACCTTTAAAATAAATTCAAAGGTAAAAGACATACTCCAAGATTTAATTCAATAGTTAGGCTATACTTAAAATGTTAATAAATTTCCTTTCTCTTGCCAAAACTTATAAAACAAATGATATATCAGCATTAAAAGTAGAAAGGATCCTTTATACACCAAACATACTATCTAAAATTTTGATAAGGAAGTTATAAAGCCTTACCTTTGTGGAACTACAAAAAATAGAATAAATATCATTGAGGGAGGCATAACTGCTGACCAGGAGCACAACTGAGACCCCAAGTAAAGTGTCGATTGCAATCATAGCCAATAAACGACCAGCTACAAGTGTTCTCTTGTTCTCTCTAAGCTCATGTTCTAGAGTCTCAAACTGTTTAATACGAAGTAAAGTTTGTTTCAGTAAATTGCTGGAGTAGTCAAATTTATTAACTAAAACATAATGAAGACCTTCCAAGAGCACTTTGGGAAACCATGTCACACGGAGGATTGTCTTAGTCAAAACCAAGAGTGAAGCCAGTAGAGTTTTCACCAACCAGCAAGAATCCGTCTCTTTACAATCTTTTTGCACACTTTTCACAAAATATGGCACTATGTTATTTGCATGATCATCACCTTCCCTGTATAAGAACTTCTGGCTGATGAGCTCCGACTCACAGATCTCCTTGTAGCTGTAGGTTACGAGATTAACTTCACTAAGGCACACATTGTCACCGCAAACTCTGACAGAATGAAGTTGGATCTGTGGCTGAGTGCTGAGTTCTACCCAAACGTTCCTGGTGGATCTGCGAGTCTGGATCCGACTGTCATTATTAATGCACCCAATGGGAGGCTTTTTGTTTGAATTCGTAGATGTCACAACAATGACATAAGATTCTCTCTCGTCAATTGGATGAGCTTTAAAAGGAAGGAAAATGAAATAAAATAAATTTGTGATTTTTTCCCCTGTACGCTTTGCATAAAGAATACAATATTCATAATTCAGTTACCAAAAACTATTATGCAACTGCAACACAAAATTTTGATCTATTCAAACCTTTCATGATTATGCCATATAACCCTCATAAGCATTTATTTAAATCAACAACACATCATGAAGCATATGGATTACCAACCTTTTGAATTTGTGAACCTTCCATAGAGATGACCACCATTCTCTCCCTCAAGCTGCTCTGGCACAAGAACTGTCACTATAGCATTCCCTAACATTCTCTGGAATAAAGAGCTATTTCAGAATATAGGAATCACAATTTTATTCAAGAGCTCATAAACTGGAGATATCTAACATTACCTCTAGTGATTAAGCAAGCAAGCAAGCAAATAACAGGTAATTATGGATGAACAGTGGTCATTGTGACAAACTTAAAAAAGGTATGATTGAGAAATGTCTTTGCAAGGCAAGAGATGTATGTGACCACTTTCAACAATATCTTTGTCTGAAATACATGAAGACTACTTCTAATGATTATATAGCTAAAGCCATGCAAATAAATCTCTTACATTGTGAAGATATTCATTCTCATTCATATCTATTTCTATAAGGTAAATTCAGAATCACATACAATAGAAAGACACCTTTCCAACAATGAAATGTAAATTGGATCCTGGTGAAGTAGATATCATGTCATGAGAGTTTGGCTGAGTGATGGGTGATAAGTATGTATTGTCATGGAAAAATCTGACTGAATGGCAGGTGACAGGGACATTTTGCCATGTGTGCATAAAGATCTTGGGAGAAGACTAGATTCTATGGGCCTTTAAAAAGGGATCTTGCATTACTTCCATCATAAAAAGAGGATGGGCACCATCTGTGAGCCATGCCTGGAAGAGTGGCAGCTCTTAAAAGGAAACAGTTTCCAAGTGCAGCACACTATTCCTATCCACCCTGGCCAGAAGAGCAAGGTGTGTTGTGAGAAACTAAATAATATCAGTTTATAAAAAACACAAGTACCACATTATTAGTCTACTTCTTGTTATTGAACAGAATTGTAGACTACATGATGAGATAATATGGAGTCTGCTCAATGAACATTATTACTATTTTGATACAGTTTAACCCAGGCTCTTTGCCCCCAGACCCCTTACCGAATACTATATTTTCTTGTCAGGGACATATTGCTCTCAGAACTCAATTTGATCAGCATGAACTCACTCTGCGCACAGTGTTGGGCCTAGTTGCAACATATTTTCTTAATTTCTCGTGTTATTTTTTGCTTACACAGATAACTTCATTCATGATTGGAATAAATGCTAGTCTTTCGAAACATGACGAGAGGCCAGAACTATTAGGCCTGATTTCCAAGCTTACCACAATTTCCAAAGTCTATCAATTGAATAATGGGGTTTTCTACAAAACAATGAAATGGATGTAATATTGTACATGTAGTGCTATAATTACATATACCTAATGAGATGAAATAATTATCAACTGAATATCTAATCAAATCATAAATATATGAAAGGAAGTGATATGTTGGATACCTAATATCGTCAATATTTGAAAGAAAGTTATTTGTTGAATATATAATCAAATCGTAAATGTTACTTACTTTCTGTTATTTTTTTCCGTGACTATAGAAAAAAAATTCTTTTAATTATAGAAACTATTAATGAAACAAAGCTCTCCTTCTCTTGCGTCTTCCTTGCAAATAATAAAAATCCACATCCATTCCTAATTCTTCTTCTTCTTTCTTCTCCTAATTCCTCTTCCTTCTCCTAATTCCTAAATTCCAAAGCCACACCTCGCTCACTCGCCGACTTCCTCCGGCCTTGTTTACAAACACGGCGTTCGCGTAAGTGGCGTTCGAGGACCGTCTCCGGATTCAGATGTTGGGCTTTGACTTTGGCTTCGTGTGTCATTTTGGTTTGACGTCCTTACGAGCATGGGAGAAAGAGAATGGAAGAAACATGATTATATATATATATATATATATATATATATATATATATATATATATATACATATATGTGTGTGTGTGTGTGTGTGTGTGTGTGTGTGTGTGTGTGTGTGTGTGTGTGTAGTTTTGTGTGTGTGTGTGTAGTTTTGTGTGTGTGTGTGTGTGTGTGTGTGTGTGTGTGTAGTTTTGTGTGTGTGTGTGTAGTTTTGTGTGTGTGTGTGTGTGTGTGTGTGTGTGTGTGTGTGTGTGTGTGTGTGTGTGTGTGTGTGTGTGTGTGTGTGTGTGTATGTGTGTTTATACATATTTACACATATATGACTGCCGCGATAGTCTAATGGTTAGAGCACTGGACTCTGACCCTCATGGCCCCGAGTTCAATTCCCCGCCGCGACAGTCGTAAAAACGCCTGCGCTCCGACTATTGGTTCGCGCTTGATCTCACGGAGAAAAAACGACATATCGCCTTGAGAAGTCACACGCAGGTGTCGTAGGGGAAGACGCCGTCGTGGCACAGCTGTTAAGCACACCGAACCGCGGTTGATTAGGAAGGGCATCCAATCTGGTGATCGTGGTGCAGAGGCAGCAAAGACGAAATTGAAGCTCATAACACTAACAGTAGCGTAGATTGGAAATTTTATAGGGGGGGGGGGGCGAGAAATGCAGATTTTCCGACAAAAAAAATAATAAGCAATTTCGTTTCTTCATGATTAATTTCCGACAAGATAAGCAATTTTCCGACAAGATGGCAGTTTGGCTCTAGAGGGGGGTTTCCCGGACACCCCCCCCCCCTGACCCCTACGCCAATGAACACTGACCAAATCATCAAACAGGTCAGAATATACAAGGTGAAGAATTGTAAATCAGACAAAGGTTGGAAGGCTTTGCTGACTCTATACCATCATTGTATGTCAACATGGTGTAGTTAACCAGGCTCTATTCTGCCAGAACATATGAGGTGAAGATTTTGCAGTCCAGGTGGTGGGTGAGGGGTAGCCATCTCTGAAAAGGCAAAAGCAAAGCCCCTGAATTACTATGGATGTGCATTGCAATAGATGATTTACTGACAGTTTTATTTCGATCCTTTGACTTTTCCTTGCAGCTTCCCTGATACTTATAAGGTAATTTTTTAGTCTCATACTGCATCCAACCTTGCAGTTATGATTCATTGTTTCAGTGATTCACATTGTAATATGTATGAATTCCTTGTTATTTTCCATTACAAATGATATAAATGAAAGTATTGGTACTGTTTAGGAAGTGATTGCGCCCCTGTAAGTCCCTTTTACTCGAGCCACTCCTGGGAATCACACACACACGCACGCACGCTGCCACACCACACACGCACGCACGCACGCTGCACACACACACGCACGCACGCCTCCCACACACACACCACGCACGCACGCTCCCACACACACACGCACTCACGCTCCCACACACGCACGCACGCTTCCCACACACACACACAACACACACACACACACGCACGCTCCCACAACACACACGCACGCAACGCTGCCACACACACACGCGCGCACGCTGCCACACCACACACGCACGCACGCACGCTGCACACACACACGCACGGCACGCTCCCACACACGCACGCACGCTGCACACACACACACGCCGCACGCTGCCACACACACACGCACTCACGCTCCCACACACACACGCACGCAACGCTGCCACACACACACGCGCGCACGCTGCCACACACACACGCACGCACTCTCCCACACACACACACACGCACTCACGCTCCCACACACGCACGCACTCTCCCACACACACACACGCACGCACTCTCCCACACACACACGCACTCACGCTCCCACACACGCACGCACGCTTCCCACACACACACACACACGCACGCCACGCTGCCACACACACGCACGCTGCCACCACACACACACACGCACGCTCCCACACACACACGCACGCACGCTGCACACACACACACGCACGCACGCACGCTGCACACACACACGCACGCACTCTCCCACACACACACGCACGCTGCCACACACACACGCTGCCACACACACCACGCACGCACGCTGCCACACACACACGCACGCTGCCACACACACGCACGCCACGCTGCCACACACACACGCGCGCACGCTGCCACACACACACCACACGCACGCACGCTGCCACACACACCACGCACGCACGCACGCTGCACACACACACGCACGCACTCTCCCACACACACACGCACTCACGCTCCCACACACGCACGCACTCTCCCACACACACACGCACGCACGCTTCCCACACACACACGCACGCACTCTCCCACACACACACTCACGCACGCTCCCACACACACACGCACTCACGCTCCCACACACCACGCACGCACGCTGCCACACACACACACACGCACGCACTCTCCCACACACACACTCACGCACGCTCCCACAACACACACGCACGCAACGCTGCCACACACACACGCACGGCACGCTCCCACACACACACGCACTCACGCTCCCACACACACACTCACGCACGCTCCCACACACACAACGCACGCACGCTGCCAACACACACACACACGCACGCACGCTGCACACACACACGCACTCACGCTCCCACACACGCACGCACTCTCCCACACACACACACACAACACACACACACACGCACGCACGCTGCCAACACACACACACACATTATATATATGTATATATATATGTATGTACATATATATATATATATAATATATATATATATATATATATAATATATATATATATATATATATAATATATATATATATAATATATATATATATATATATAATATATATATATATATATATATATAATATATATATATATATATAATATATGATATATATATATATATATATATATATATATATATATATATATATATATATACACATATATATATCGTACACATACACTCAGATCGAAAAGTAAATGGGAAAAGAGCAGTATATACGTTACATCCCTATTATACCTAATATTAAAATCATAAATGAAAATCAATCTACTAACTTAAAGCATTTCGTGATAGCTGTCTCTTACATCACGTACCCATGTTGCTAGTGTAGAGGCATTTATTTAAAGTTTTTAATTGAGTCTTCTTTTCCAGTTATTTCAATTTGTTATTTTCGCCATTCTTTCTTGTTATTAACGTAAAAACAAGTTGCGTGTAAGATTAAAATTAAAGGCTCGATTTTCATTCTCTCTTTAGTCACGTGTTCGTTCAGCGTGCAGTTTTTTTTCGAGGTTTCGGAATTACGTGTGCTACCCATTTACTGATTACATATTAGTATTTGAAGAAATTGAAGGTTAAAGTAAAGTTGTGGAACAAAATGAAAAGTTAAGAAGACTGAAATAAGCATGGAAAAGGATGGCCGTTATAGTGTGTCAGGCATGAAAATGTATGTATATATTTCTCTACCTCCTAAGTTTACTGTCGTGAGTTGTAAATTGATAAATCCTTGTTTGGTAATAATTTAAAAAAACAAGTAGTTGTTAAACTACACGTGTATTCCCAGCAGCATTTTCCCCATTTCTAATGTATTGGAGTGAAACCACATACATGAGTAAAAAAAAAATGTCACTTCAAAAGTTCATATAGCATAATCATCGTAAGTGATATATACACTTGATCGCACAGCCTTCCAACAATCACCTCGAAAGCCATCAATTCAGTAATGCATTGCCATTTGGGGGGGGGGGGGGGGGAGAGAAATGCAGATTTCCGACAAAAAAAAAAAAAAAAAAAAAAAAAAAAAAAAAAAAAAAAAAAAATTCGTTTCTTCATGATTAATTTCCGACAAGATAAGCAATTTTCCGACAAGATAAGCAATTTTCCGACAAGATGGCAGTTTGGCTCTAGAGGGGGGTTTCCCGGACACCCCCCCCCGACCCCTACGCCAATGAACACTGACCAAATAATCAAACAGGTCAGAATATACAAGGTGAAGAATTGTAAATCAGACAGAGGTTGGAAGGCTTTGCTGACTCTATACCATCAATGTATGTCAACATGGTGTAGTTAACCAGGCTCTTTGCCTCCAGACTCCTGACCGAATACTATATTTTCTTGTCAGGGACACTACTCTCAGAATTCACTCTCCGCACAGTATTAGGCCTAGTAGCAACCAGTTTTCTTAATTTCTGATGTTAGTTTTTGCCTAAACAGATTATTTTGTGTATCAGTGTGTGAAGTTTTTCCTTTGTACATGATAGTGTCATTATATTTTCCTATGAATTTATATCAAAGTATTGCAAGGTTGATAACTCTCTTATTATCAACTTGTGAAGGAAGTACCATTAATGAAAAATGTCTTATATTCTGTTATTCTGTCCATTACAAGCAAAGAGATAAACTGCACTCAGCTACTGAAGCCAATACTGTAGCTGTGCTTCATTTGTGACAGGAATAAATGCTATTTCGAAACATGATGAGAGGCCTGAATTATTGGGACTCATTTCTAAATTTCACACAAATTTTAAAGCTTGACTTGAATAACCGTGTATTCGGTTCATGTTACCGAGAGCGACGCACGCAGATAGAGCAAAATGGACATTGCCATCTTGTAGAGCATCAAAAATAGAGAAGGAATCAATATATCTAAATCTACAGCGGCCTCATATTTACCGGGAAATGACAAAAATAGGCTCTGCATGGCACCGCTCCGAGACCCCGTTAATGTTAACTTGCCAGGACCAAAACAAATGTGACGCGTAACTCATTATATTGTCATTACCAGTGTCGTTTTTTTTTCCGAATTCATGCATTTAATGAATTCTTTTACTTTAATTATACTTCTTTTACGTGCTGTGGTAACTATTTACACTATTTTGCATAATAACCC